GCTAGTCATAAGGTTTTCATCTTCCAGCGCTATATCTGAGACTGTTCTCGCACTAGTCATAAGGTTTTCATCTTCCAGAACTATATCTGAGAATGTTCTGGTGCTAGTCATAAGGTTTTCATCTTCCAGCACTATATCTGAGAATGTTCTGGTGTTATTCATAAGGTTTTTCATTTTGCGGCTAAACATTCAGAAGTAGTCTGTTTCTCCTTCTTCCTAGTCTGTCTTAGTCTGGAAACTCTGCTGAAACCTTTCCACCTACTGGTATTTAAATTACTGGTGGCATCACAGCAACATGCCCACCTCCAGCTTCACAGCAACATGCATGCCACCAGAGGACACCAGACTGACATACAGGTGGTGGCTGGATAATCTAAGTGGGCCCAATATAATTACATGAACCCTTAAATGCAAAGAAGGGCTGGAGGAAGTAGACGAAGTAGTCAGATTCAAAGCACACGAAGGAAGGTAGAGGGTTCTTCAAGGTAAGTGGGAGAAGAAAATGAATCCTGCCAACAACCTGGAAGCCTGCAATAGAACCCTGAATCCTAGATGAGAACAAAAGTTCCAGGTGATACCTTGATTTTAGCCCAGCTAAACTCTGAACATAGACTTCAGCTTGCTGGGTATTGTTTTAAGCCATTAAGTTTGTGGTAGGTAGTTATGCAGCAATTAAAAAAAAACACCAAAACTGTGACCCTGGCAATGTCTACCTGCAAGGAAATCTAGGAAAAAGAAGAATATATCTTTTCCACAGTGACATATCACACAAAGGACTAATATCTAAAACGTATAGAAAACCCTAACAGCTCTCCAAGAAAAAGACAACCCAATTAAAAACTGGGCACAGAACATGAACAGACATTTCACTGAGGAAGACATTCAGGCAGCCAACAAAAATATGAAGAAATGTTCATGAGAGATGCAAATCAAAACAACAAGATATCATCTCATACCAGCATTAACAACGAAGTTAAAAAACAAAACAAAACAGAAAACTACAAAATGTCAGCGAGAATGTGGAGAGACTTAGACCCTCCTACATTGTTGGTGGGACTGTAAAATGGTTCAGCCACGCTGGAGAGTGATATGGCGCTTCATTAGAAAGTTGGAAATAGAAATACCTTATGAACCAACAATCTCTCTACTTGGTATATATCCACAAGATCTACAACCCAGGACATGAGTAGATATATGCACACTGATGTTCATCACAGCACTATTCACAATAGCAAAAAGAGGGAGACAGCCTAAGTGCCCATCAATGGAAGAATGGATAAACAAACTTCAGTATGTACCCACAATGGAATAGTATGCAATGTTGAAGAATAACAATGAATTTGTGAAACACCTTATAACATGCTGAGTGAACTTAGTCCATCACAAAAGGATAAATATTGTATGAGACCACAAATAATGGAGAATGGGGTTGGAAATGGTTATTGTTAGCCAACTATCTGTGTCTACCACACCATCTGTGACTTCACTAATTACATGATTGGCCTTACACTTGTAAGTCACTACTTTCTGGAACTGATTTCTTTATTAGCAAGGACTCTTTTAGTTGCTAGTGGTGGAATTATTGCAGGCAAAAAAGGGAAATGTATTGTCTTTTCTAACCTACCTACAGAAAGGACAAAAATAGAGCTGATTTAAGGAATGACTAGGACCACTCCACAAATGCTGGAGCAATAATGATGGCTAATATTTATTACGTGTTTACTGTGCACCCGTCTAATGCTTTATATGTAGTATTTAACCCTCACAGAAACCCTGAGCTAGTCACTCATATATATCCCATTTTACAGGTAAAGTAATTGGTCATAGAGAGTTTAAGCAACTTTTCTAAGGTGTCTTCCAGCATGAAATTGAGTTCTTGAATGAATAGTGCTCCCCAGGAGCCTAATTTGACCCCTAAGAAAGCAACTTCTCATTTTTCTGCTACAGAGAATGGCCTCATGAGCAATCAAGAGAGAGTGTGCCAAGAGGAGGGCATAGGCGTGGAAGACGAGGATAGTGAGGAGAGCAGTGAGACCAAGGATCAAATAGAAGAGCCGAAGGCAAAGGCAAATGGGGAGAAAGAAGGAAAAAAGGAGAAAAGGAAGAGGGAAAAAGAGACAGAGAATAAGTCAAAGCCCGCCTCTGAGACTTCACCTCTTCCCCACCTTAAAGTGCTCTCAGGTGCTGACCCAGAGTTGGGTCCTCAGCTCCAGGAGGCAGCTGCCAGTGGTGAGACCTGCTCCCTACTCACCATGTCCCTCATTGCCTCCCCAAATTCTGTGACTCCACACCTGTCTTCCCACACCTATCTTCCATCGGCTCCCATCCCAGACACTAACCATGCTGAAGGGTGCTGAGGGGACCCTCCTATCAGCTAGTGTGGAACTTGTCGCAGCCAGATCTTGCACTTGGAGAGGGGGACTGGATGTTGGCATGGTGGATACAGTGCCCTTATCTCTCTCCCTCACAGGCTTACCCGTGCTACTAACCAACGTGGAGCTAGGCCTAGAGTGTCAAGAACTGCAATGGTTGCTACAGCGAGAGCAGCTGAGCCCACCCCGGGTGCAGCCTGGCTTCATTCTCTACCTGAGCACTACTGTCCCCCTCAGTGCCTTGGGAAAAGGTGAGCCCCATCAGGCAGGCTGTCAGCACAGCTCTGTGGTCACACTAGGCCCCCAGAACCAGCCCAACGTGCACTTCACTGCCCTGGACAGGACCATAGTAGGCAATCAAACTCTCTGTGCCCTGTGTACAGCCCTTTCTCTCTCCCCCATCCCCCCTGCTCTGTAAAAGGGAAATGGTTAAGAATTTCCCATGTAACTCTTAGTGTTAGGTTGTGACTTACTGAAGGGGCTGAATGTGCTGGATCTCAGCCTGAACATGGACGTACTGAAAGAACAGATGCTACATGAAATTTTACGCATAGAGCAACCCGAGCTCCAGACCCGCTGGCAGGAACTAAAGAACAGAATCGTGGATATTTGCAAAGCTGTGGAGGTGGCTGAGGTGCTTGGGAGCCTGGTCTATGAGTTGGGATGAGCATTGGAGGGGCCCAGGGATGGGGATGGGAACGTGGTGGGAAAGGGTCAGACCATACAATGAATGCCTATGCAGGAGAAGCTGCTGGCAATGCTGCTGCACCAGAACTCACCACATCAGAAACCAGCTAAGTTCCTGCGGAACATGGTGAGGGTCCAGGCAGAGCTATGCCAGCTGTGTGCCCAGAAAGAGGAGCTAGAAGACCTGAGGCTACAGGAGATGTTGTTGTGGACACCCTATCAGCATTTGGTCCATCACGGAATAGCCATTATACAGGCCCTAAGCCCACTGCAGAACCTTCTGCCACTTTTACGCTTAAGACCAGAGCACTGCTTGGCAGCCACCAAGCAGATTTTAGAGAACATAAAGAAGTGTGAGGCTCAGCCAGGTGAGGACACGGCCAGTCATCTGCTGCAGATAAGGACACAGCTGACCCGCCATCTGCTGGGCAGCACTGTGGCTACCTTGGGCTTGACCCGAGTGCCCTTAGTGGGTGCTCTGGGTGCTCTGGCTCTGTTGCAAGCAGCAAGAAAGGCACCAGAACTGGAGAGGCTGGCGCTCTGGCCTGGACTAGCAGCCTCTCCCACCACAGGCCACAGCCATCATATCCAAGGTGTGACCCGACCAGCCTGGCTAGGGCTGAGAGCCTGGCATGAATGTGCAATGTTAGAATTACTGCCCCCATTTGCTGGCCTGCGTGCATCCCTAGCAGGCCACTCCAACATCTGGCAAGCTTACCTATCACTGTCATCCACAGTGCTGGGTCCTGCACCTGGGCCTGGGCCTGATCCCCTTAGCCTCCTCCAGAAGTTGATCCTGTGGCGTGTGCTGCGACCCGAGTGCCTGGCAGGTGCCCTGTCCGACTTCACCACCAGCCTTCTGGGCCGGCCTCTGGATGAAGCAATTGATGTCCCCACCATGCCCTTGGAGCACAGTCAGGCTACTCAACCCATGTTGATCTTGTTACCGCCGCCTGGCCACCCCACAGCCACCCTGCATCCCCTGCCTGTCATCCAAAAATTAGCTGCCAACCATGAGCAGGTTTGAGTCTAGCCTCTTGACCACAGAGTGACTCCTATGGGCTGGAGTGGTATGTGGGGGTTCCTTCTGCCCCTCAGAATTCTCATGTATCTTTGATTACTCAAGCTCTTTGGGAATCACTGTGGTATTCCTCTGGGTCCCTTGGGTTACCCCAGACTCCCTTTACTCACTCTGCTATTTGTCTATTGGTTCTCAGGGGCAGAAACATCTACAGGTGATAGCCCTGGGCTCTGAAGCCTGGGACCCAGTCCCAGCTGTGGTCAGCACTCTATGCCAAGCTATGCACAAGGGACACTGGTTGGTGCTGGATAATTGCCATCTGATGTCCCAGTGGCCAAAAGAGCTACTACAGCCTTTGATGGGTCTGTTTGATGGAGCTAACGGTGGGTCTGCTGCCTAGGTATGACTTCTGGGACTCATTAAGTCTTAGCTTGAACTCTCTGACCTTACGGCTGGTTTCCTAACCCCAAGCCTGTTCCCTTGGCTTTAAGTCTGACTCCTGACCCCTCTTTCCCCTAAGCCTCAAGTCTGAGCCTCAGACCTGTGTCTGATCCCTTACCCCAGGCATGATTTCAGTCTCATGTCCCTTAGTGGTCTCAGACTTGGAGTTGGAACTGCTTTTAGCTCAACCTACAAGTAGGAACATGACCATTGTGCACAAGGATTTCCGTCTTTGGCTTATTGTGTCTGCAGAGGCTATTGCTTCCTTGCCAGGTAAGGCACCAACCCCTATAGACTTTCCGATTGCAAAGGGCTGCTGTGCTGTGCTGACTCAGCACTCGTTCTCCTCAGCTGTGTTGACTCAGCACTCCATGCCTGTTTTCTGGGACCAATGCCTGGAGCTGGGCCGTGTCTTGATTGACAGTGTGGAACTAATCCAGCAGGGATTCTGCATGCCACCTACAACCCAGGTGTTGCCTCTGCTCTTCCTACATGGTCTCCTGCTACATCGGCAGCTCTATGGACTGAAGCTGCAGGCACACAGGGGGCGCTGGTAAGTAAGCCAATCAGTCCACCTTGTCAGTTCATTTTGCCATTCGGAAAACACTGAATATCTTTCACATATTGGGATGAGCCAAACTTCGTCTCTCATACTTTGGACATATTGTCAGGAGGGAACTGTCGCTGGAGAAGGATATCATGTTTGGCCAGGTGGAGGGTCAGAGAAAAAGAGGAAGACCCCCAGTGAGATGAATTGGCCAAGTGGCAGCATCGATGTACTCACGCGTGGCAAAAGTAGTGAGGTTGGCCCAGGATTGGGCAGTGTTTCATTCTGCTGTGCATAAGGTTCTATGAGTCGGTACCGACTCGATGGCACCTAACAACAACAACAACAACAACTGGGATGAGGAGATAAACTCATCTCTGTGATGTGCCAAAGTGTAAAGGCAAGGGGATATCAAGGAAGACTCCTCCCAGGACTTCAGGTCTCACTTTGAATTAAGTCTTGAAACCAGAGGCAGAACTGGTTGGGTGGGGCCTTTCCGAGTACTTGGGGCTAATGAGCTTACCAGGAGGAGAATGTCAGTGTGGCTGAAATGGACATGCTGGGGAATGCATTACAAGAGGTAAATCTGGTCATAAAGGGCCTTTACAGCCATGGCAAGGGGACCTGATTTTATTTTGGAAACAATAGGAAGCCACTGAAAGGTTATAAGTAGAAGAAAAGTGATCCTATTTGTTGTTAAGATCACTCTGGCTGCAGTGTGAACGGACCATATTGGGCAGCACTGGAGGTAAGCAGAGAGTTTTAGGAGACTGAGGCATCTTTGAGAAAGATATAGTAGTACTGGTGATTTGGGCACCGTGGGTGGCATAAATGGTTAAGTGCTCAATTACTAGTTGAAAGGATGTAGTTCAAACACACCTAAAGGTGTCTGGGAAGACAGGCCTTGTGAGCTGCTTTGGAAAGGTCACAGCCTTGAAAATCCTGCGGCGCAGTTCTGCTCTACATACACGAATCAGATCCAATGCAAGTCACTAACAAGCCAACTAACAATAAGTCAAAGTAAGGCTAGAGAGTAAATACGGGGTGGGAGAGGTCTGTAAGGAAGAGGGGGAGGAGTTAAGAATGGCTTCCATATTTCTGCCTTGGACAGTTGGGTGACAGGTTTTGTGAGGAAAATGATTTCAGTTTGAGAGAGTTTTCTTTGAGGGGAGCCTTCCATCTCAGGTAAAGATTTGAGAGTTTCAGCATATAGATGGTACTGGAGACCCTCCTTCTCAATCCTTTTTCCAGGAGTCAAGACACTCTGACCCAGGTTCTTCAAATGCAGGGCCAACTGTGGGCCAGACTCAGCAATCCTCGTGTTGCCATGCAGGAGCTGGCTGGTTAGACTCTGGCCATCCCCATGCAGTCCCCATGATAGTCTGGAAAGAGGTGGAGGCAGGGATACTGAGAGATTGGAGTGGGGAAGACTGAGGGGCTCTGACCTCATCCTCAGCTTCGGTTTTCTATGGGGGTCCTCTGAGGGACATCAAGGACAGGGAGACCCTGATAAGCCTCACTGAAGCCTGTCTGAGCCCTAGTACTGGGAGCTGGACCTACCCACAAACACCCCAGCATCTGCTGACCACTCTGATGCCCAGTTCAGGTAAGCTACAATATGGTTTCTGTGTGTGATGGGGCAGGGGGAGGGCAGTGTAATGCCACCCCACAGATATATGGACAGCAGCATCTGTAAAAGTGTATGAGGTGGCAATATTCATACAGTGCTGTGGTGCTATAGGATAAGCACTGGACTGCTAATCACAAGGTTGGCAGTTCAAGCCCACCAGCCACTCCTATGAGTTGAAATCGACTTGAGGGCACTTAGCAAAATGGGAGTGATAAGGCGCCCTGGTCATGTAGTGGGTCAGCAGTTTGAACCCACCAGCTTCTATGCTCCATACGAGAAAGATGAGGCTGTCTGTTTTAGTAAAAACGTACAGACTTGGAAACCCTAGGGAGTGGTTCTAGGCTCCTCTATAGAGTCTCTGAGTCGGTATTCACTTGATTGCAGTTTTTAGTTAAAA